TATTTGTTAAAATGCTATTAAGTTTAGAATAATTGATGGGAAAAGAATTGAGAGAGCAGGTTGTGGAATGAATTTGCCAATCACATCACAAGCCTTCAGGTCAGCAATGTGTAATATATTTTCATCTTGATAAAGAAAATGAAGCAATGATTTTGTTGTTATTCATATACGAATCTATGCATTCTTTATAGGTATTGTGACATGCCCATGCATTTACTAATAAGATGAATGGTGCATAACAATGTACTGTTTATGCTCTAAAATAATAAAAATAATGCTGCGTCGCCCCGTTTCTTCATAATAAAAATACGTTCCATTTATAAAGCACCGAAAGTAAAAGAAATCAATATCTAAATAACTGTATATGTATATTTACCTAGACTGTTAACTTCATTGGATGCATATTTCCATCGCTGGAAACCCCGATCAAGTCCTTCCAAAACCACCAAAAGCGCTTTCCACCTCAACAATCATGCAGCAGATGTACATCCTTGATGGTAGCACAGTGCACTATGACCCCACTCCAAGATATCTAGGGGTTATCATGGATAGACGCCTGACCTTCCAAAGCCCCACATAAAACAAATCTGTGAAAAGACCAAATAAAGAATTACCCTGCTGCAGAAACTTGCAGGAATGACCTGGGGAGCCTCAGCTGATGTGCTACCAACTGCCGCCCTCACACTGATCAACTCAATGCACTCCAGCCTGGTCCGGGAGTTCATGCCCAAAACTGCTAGGTACACAATTAAATAACGCAATGTGCATCATAACCGGAATACTGAAACCGACACCAATAACCTGGCTCCCTGTTCCGGGTGAATATTCTGCCACAAAACTGCAAATGAGTTGACACATGTTTTTGCCAACGATAACCTACCCATCAACCAAGACCTCAACAATGGAGCTCGCTGCTGACTCTAGTCCTGATCCCCCTCATGGGGTTGTGCTGTTACCATCATAGAATCTCACCCAGATCCAGAAGAATGCTGGTGAACAGTGGAACAACTCAGATGTCCAGAATAAACATCTCATTCGAGACCCAAACATCGAACCTTCTGGCTTTGACATTTCCTCCTTGAAAACAGTGGTGTAACCATCAACCACATCATGAGAAGTTGAACATCTCCTTCATGAATTGACAATTAACGACAAGCCACAGTTTAATTGTGGCCATGCAACCTAAACTATGGACCATGTAGTAAACCACTGTAGTGTGTGCTCCCTCAAAGGAGTAATCGGAAAACTGTCCAAACTCTCTAGTGTATGAATGCATGTAGAACTCCTTTTGCACCATACATAGCCAAACTCTCTCCTGTATGAATGCATGTAGAACTCCTTTTGCACCATACATAGCAGAACTCTACTCCTGTATGAATGCATGTAGAACTCCTTTTGCACCATACATAGCCAAACTCTCTCCTGTATGAATGCATGTAGAACTCCTTTTGCACCATACATAGCCAAACTCTCTAGTGTATGAATGCATGTAGAACTCCTTTTGCACCATACATAGCCAAACTCTCTCCTGTATGAATGCATGTAGAACTCCTTTTGCACCATACATAGCCAAACTCTCTAGTGTATGAATGCATGTAGAACTCCTTTTGCACCATACATAGCAGAACTCTACTCCTGTATGAATGCATGTAGAACTCCTTTTGCACCATACATAGCCAAAAGTGCTAATCTTCCTGAAGCCCTCTCATGGCTCACAGCCGTTGACATTGGCATTTAGCTCTCGAACATATTGCCATGGTACGCAAGAATAGAAACAGACAATGTTACAAAAATTCACACTACCGTTGTACAATTTTGCTCCCCTTTCAAATAAACGTATTTGTGCATAATGAGGCCACTCCGAGGTCATGTTTGACTGCATTATTGCTGTCGTATCATCTGTTCTTCATTGTTATGATTGCAAGCATATTATTTTGCAAATCTTCAACATGTTAGAGTTAATGAAACATTTTGAATTACCAAAAGCCTTTTCCCTGCTTATATCCTTCTGCATTTTTCTTCTTTTGTTGCATGTTACTAACACAGGCAGTCTCTAATGAAGAGAGTCTGAGGGATGAATGGAGCCAATAAAGAAATGCATGTTCTTTTATACGCATTGAGGGGGGTCAGGCACCTTTCTCTAAAAGTAAGCCATATTCATCCACTTAACATCGCCGCACGTTAACCATAGCACTATTCACACCCCTGAGCTGCCAGTGTTAATTGGAAACACAAATGGTGACGAATCGCTTCATAAGCACAGTTCCGATGAAAATTTTACTTCATAGGTCCATTGGTAGAAACGGAAAAGGCACAGGTAGGCGTTAATTCAAAAACGAATGCTCCATCTCACGCAATAGAAACTCCAGATTTACAAGTTAAGCAACCCTTAAAATTCCGTGTTTTTTTCCCGCGAGCTCCTGAGTATATTGGCATTCAGTATCGTCAGCCAAAAATGGCTCTTGCTTCGATAAATATTGTTCAAAATATAATGCTGAGGTGCCAATTTAATAGTGTGGCTATTGGCAACCTCATTGGTGTGAGCAGGCCATCAGAAAACGATCATGAAAATCTTTCATAAACTCAGGAGACATCTCGTGGAGGGACCTGGGGTATATTGTTCATTATTTTTTTTATGTAATATCTTGTTCTCTAGCTTATTTTATGCTCCACCTATTCCGCTGTAATCTTTTATAAAATAAGGATTGAAAAATCTAAGAATTCCACGAGATCCATACTGAAATGGAACTAATTATATGTTCTTGTCAGTGGTGCATCCATATGTCATAGATGACAATTTGCACTTACAGAAAACATATTCTTTGGTCACATCACAATGCTGATTTCGATTATCAAGTTAAGATTTTCAAAATCACATAATCAAGTTCTTGATCACCTTTTTTTGTTCATAATTGCATCTTCATCCACCTTTAATTATGGCCATATATATATATTCCTGCTATATTCATGTGTTGTCCCTGCAATGGTTAACTTTTTTTTCAGCGTCCCATTAGGACGCTGTCTTTCCGACAGCTGTTCTTCACCTGAGGACGGCTGCTTGCGTTGTGGCCGAGACGTCGTGAGAATTTTATTTTATTGTGTTTTATTTTTATTGTTTTGTTATTTCCCTTCTACGTGACTTTGCCGAAAAAACCAAGAATATGAATCCCTGCAGTCACGAAAGCTTTAAATCGAAATCAGGATATAGTTGGGGGAAATAGGCAAAACAAATTGGAACAAACTCGACAAACCTGGGCTCATCTGTCAAAACTAGACCATGAGTCTAGCCTACAAGCGATGAAAATATTCGAATGTGGCTATTTTAAGCCCTGGAGAGAGGAACAGTGGAGGTTACATCACCCCTATGAACCCGGAAAAGTTGAGTTCGATTCCCAACCAGAGCTAGCACTGGTGGTGAGTGATATATGAACCGGTCCTGGGCAACCCCCATTTACTAACCTGCACTCACTCGTGTCAGGAAGTACGGCCAAATAACCCCTCTGACTTTCTCAGTATTGGACTGATAACTTTAGTCTAAATTGTCTTATGGTTGTTATTGTTTGACTTGCATCACACTGGGATTTTTTGCATACAGCGTTGTAATACGGTGTTTTTTTTTTTTCTGGAAGATTTGCTGGTTTGTCCAGGATGTTTCTGTTGCGCGTAGTCGCTTTAAGATGTTTCTCTGTTCATATTGTGTTTGTTGCGGTTGCACTCGACTCAAGAGCCGCATGGCTCACAGGGCTAAATCTAATAAATGAAACTTGAAACTTAAGTCAAATACTGCAGTGTTCTTTGCACAATTTTTCAATCATTTTCTCACGTTAATTTTCATTCCTTCCAAGCTTTCACAGAGGCTTCATTTTATAAAAAAAAACGTTTTCAAAACATGTACCAAGAGGACCCATTAAATTTAGGCTACATGAAGTTCGCAGACAAATACAGATTATAAGTCAGTTGACATTTGCTTTTGCCAAGTCTATTACCAGCAATTTAAAGTAATTTTCATAAAATAATGTAAGAAGAACAAGAGCATTGACATAAATGGACAGCTCAAAGTATGTATGCTACATTATCAACTAATTACACGACATCTATAAATAATATATGAAACATGTTATTTTTTAAAATATTTATTGATTAGACTTTTGTATAGATGGCTTTTATAGACTGTTAACAATCTTTAAATGCATTTCCTAAGCGAACACATTGTTTTTTTCTGCAACTAGCATTACAGTATATTACATTTTTAAAATGTATGCCACTTCATGGTACAAGTTGCGTATGCTACATACGTTGGATGTGGGGTTTGTTTTGAAATAAAACAGTGAACTCGCTATTGAGCCCCCACAATTCCTATGGCAGGGGACAGCTTCTCTTTAGGACAACCCCTGTTGACTTTCCACAGAGTACTACTGATTTCATTGACCTTGTACAAAAGGCAGAGGAAGACAGCGGAAGGGATGGCAGTAAGACCAAATCAAAGCATTCGGAGACTGCTAATGAATTGGAACAACCCAGCAAAGGAAGAATGGAAAGCAATGCCCAAAAGTGGGAATTTACAAGCTGACAACAAACAGCTGATGGGCTGAGTGTGAACACTTGACCAGAATTTGAAATTGTTACTTTTAAATTTCGAGTTGGGGACTCTACCACTGGAATTTACAGTGTGCATGTTTGTGTTGCAAAATGAAACGAAATATATACATACAAATATATACGTAGTACAGTGGTTGTCACACAGTGCTTTGAACCCGGCAACCGGATCACAATTCCTGATCCGGGCTAACACATCGGCAGTCAGTAATATCCAAAGCACTTCTGGGACTATCCTCGTCACCAACCTGCACTGACCAGTGTGGTGAAGTATGCCCTACAAGCCTCATGACCAGCATGGCATTGGGTGGTCTTTATAAAACAATAGGCTGATGAAGGGCCATAAATCATTGTTATTATTAAGTGCAACCATGAAGAATGTTCTGATTACACTGTGCACTCACCATGCCGGTCGTAGCAGACCACTCGCTGGAACTGTGTCCCAGTGCCACACTTGGTGTTGCCGGGGATGCAGATGCTGACTTCGGCTACATGCCAGCGATGACAGCGGGCGTCCTCACAAGGGATGGCCTCCACGAGGTGGGGACAGCCACCCAGGCCGGATTCCCGTGCCGACAATGAGGAGACGGAGTAAGGAGAGGAGGCAGAGGTGAAAGGTGGTAACAACACCTTCCGTTCGCGCAGCATAAAACCTGTCAGAGGGAAAGAAGAGCAGTGCAGGGTGGTCAGGTGAGCACACATCTGCACAAATTTTAACAATAAATCGGTCTTCTTTCTCATTTAGGATCCAAAGTATGCAAAGTGGGGATACACTTTAAAACTAGTATTTTATCTGAAATGTACAAAAAAAATGTATAACACTTGTGATATTCATATAACATATTTCAATTAAGCATAGTGAATATTCACACCAAAATTAAATTGCTCAAATGAGAAATGATGCCTCAAACATTATTATATGGAAAAAAATGAAGACAGAACTTAGCTGAAGAATTACAGACCCATTCTCCTCCTATCACACATATATAAATGGTCCACAAAGATATAGGGAAACCGAATGATGGGCATTTTTATCGACCACAGGATCAAGCAGAATTGATTTATAAATACAAAAAGTTTTTCTACCATTTTCCACATACACACTATTCATCAGATATTATTTGAGATAAAAAAATATCAAATACTGAATCATCATTCCTGGCTTTTATAGACGATAGCAAGCCACTTGATTAAGTGAAAACTGATGCAGTCATCCTCTTTATATTTGTACATAAATAAAAGTTTAACTGCTACACTGAAAGTTGCATGAAAAAGTGACAAAATTTAAAATCAAAAGATGAGTGAGGCAAGCAGATAAGCACTAAACAAAGTGATCCATAGCAACATTAGAATATATTTTCCAAAAATGATGGAGAAATAAAGCAAACGTAAATACAGAGCGTATTGGCCATGTCAAATTTTCTGAAGACATGGTCATTGTCACAACCAATGTAAATAAGCTACATTCAATGATTGACAACATTAACAAAAATGCTGCAAGGTTAGACTCAAGATAAACATGCACAAACAAAATCCAATATACAGCAACTTCACAAAGCAAAATATAATCATTGTTGGAGGAAACAACTGGAAAATATAGCAGAATATGTATATCTAGGAGAGATATTTAATGTGGATCGAAATCAAAAGGATGATGTAAAAAGTTGGATAATAGGAGGTAGAAGCATTTTTTAGAAACCTGAACTTCATAATGGCAGTCAAATCTCCGCTGTGACATGTGGATCAAAAACACGTATATTCATGACAAAACATTGAAAGAAAAGCTGAACTTGTGCTGAGAAACATAGCTAGGCGTTGACGTGTAATGACACCAAGAGGAGGAGGAATGCAAGGACTAAAGAACGCGCACGTAAAATACATGAAAAGCATCACTTGTGTACTTGGGCAGAGGAACGAGTCACTAAAAGTGACAATGGCTGCTGGTCAAGGCTAACGACACAGTGGCAGCCAAAGGAGGAAACACGTACGAGAGAGCACATCGATCGTTTAGATTGAGCAATGACATAATCTACTCTCGCGCAAGTGCTCGGTGGACAGATCATGGCTGATGATGACGATATATTTAGGCTTCTTAAGCCATTATAATTTGAGCTACTGTAGTTTACTTCTCATCAAACCATCTGCACATCCTAAACCGGCAATTGTTATACTTGCTGAGATGTATTGCTCATACAATATGCCCTAATTGGTTGTCAAAGGTCAAGTTACCTACTTCCTGATTGAATGAGCACAGGAAACTTTAAACACTAAAAAAGAACACAATAGGAATCATAAAATTAATAGCACGGGCTTATTTGCGAAACTTTTAAATGCTAAATGTGCCCTTTGCGTATTTCTTCAATGAAATGAAACACATTCAATGGGGAGCAATTTAAATGGCTTTGATGCTTCACGGTGCAGTCTGATAATTGTTCAATTTTGGTCACACCTCATCACATTTCTTGTGAATGAATTGCATGGCAAGAATAGCTTTTTAACAAGTTTTGCACACAGTCATTATTATAATAATAATAATGCTAGAGAAGATAAGAAAAACAACAAATGCAATCTTGCAAAAGCGAATAAATCCAAATTAAGGTTAGCACCTCACAGGAAAACATTGGCTATAATCACCCGCAATCGTGTTTCATTATTGTTGTTTGAAATTAGATTATTCCAGTGTACTTAGCAATTACCTGATCTCACCAATGTCCTGCACATTAAATGCAAATTTATTAAATGAACGTCAATATGAACCTGTTAATGTTGTTTAGTGAGTTTCAGAATGTAACATTGTAATAAATACTATATTTTTTTGTTAATTGTTATGTTTCCCCTTATATCCATCAAGACATCACAGAGCAAACATGTGCAATGCCCTTGTTGATAAAAGGTTTCGAAAAAAAATAAACCAAAGAACATAATTTGCCCAAGTGATTTTTTTTACTTTAATTACATGTTTAAATAGGATTTAACTAAATACCTTTGCAAAAAAAGTAGAAGAAAAATTTGCCTCAAAGTTCCGATTTTAATTCTAATACTTACAGATCACTTAAGTTAGACTATTGACCACCACTTTTATCCTCACATGGAAAAATCCATGGCCACTACAAATAGCGGTATTATTGAGCTAGGCCTGTCTAATTGAGAACCAAAGCTGGCCCATTCAATCAGACTCTGCGACGTTCAAGTAAATTTACAGGAAGAATCCTGATACCTAACCATGCCTGGCAATCAATGACCCACAATCGACCAGGTACACGCAATATTAGAAAGACGAGCAACATGGCTGTTCCTCCAAAAACTTTACCATTTATTGATGAGGCTGTGAATCCAAAATGACCTAGCCATTGTCTTGACATCCAATAACATCATATAGAAAGACCAACCATAGTTTTAATCCAGGAATGTGCAGGTTGAAATATATATGTAAAATAATGTCTCAAATCATATCATAGACTGAACTTTGGCAGTTAGGAATAAATGTCAATTTAAGACATGGAGGAACATTTTTTGTAAAATGGGTTCGTATTATTTTCCAGAAAGTTACTATTTTGAATAATGCTAAATACAAATTTCATTGTTTAAAAGTCGTTGCCTGCATGCAAGCAATACCATGCCCTCATTATGGTTCATGCTTTTGGAACCTTGATTTGTTTTGGAAGTCGATGAGCCAATTTCCTTTGAAAAAAATATCCAATTAATTAAATGTCCGTTAACACTTGTGAACTAAGGCTCTAACTCACCTACCTCTACCTATGAAGATATGTCGGCAGCTTCCACTATAGAGTGGACAAAAGCTCAATAAAGGCCCAACTACTGTTCTGCCTGAACTAAAAAGCATCATAGCGTCAGGCGAGAAAATACCATCCTACAGGCTGCTGTAATAGCCCATCTTTAGAACTTGCTGAATCCCCTAAGGTTTCATATCTCTCCACCCACAATGTACAGCGGATGTAATTAAATTATGACTAGGTTAATGTGCACGTGTCTTAACCCTCAATAGGCATATCACCTGCAAGCTAGACAAGTGACACACTTTTACTGACAAGGAAATTATCACACTAACTCCGAAGCACATATCCAAAGACGAATTTACATCAATAATTTGCTAGTTTGGCCAGTTTTTATTCTCTGATTGATTACACAGTAAGGCATTAGATATACTTTTTAAACGCTACGATTAAAGTTTGATATTTCTCTTGCATAATACATTTGTTACAACCTGTTCACAAAGCTATTTAACACAGGCCGCGATTAAGAAGTTTAAACATTACAGTGAAAGTTACAGCTGTGATCTATCATAAGGACTGGATAACGACCATCTCCCCTGAGTGCTTTACAAATCCTGAAGACATTAGTGGCTAACGATAACCTTGGTCTGATTACGTTATCATTTCTGTTGACTGATGCTCCAATCAGATGCGTACGCACTGTGGCCCAAGTACAATGTTCGTATTAAGTTAAAGCTGTGGATACTCCCAAGGCTATTGAAGAAACTGCATTTAAATCAGGAGGATGTATTTGCGGTTGTTAAAAATGAATATAACAGTTAACATTACCATAATAAGAATAGGTTTTACCCTTTCTGGCAATACAACAGGAAAGGGTGAAACCTCTTATTATTTTTCATACTTCCATACTGGCAAAAAAAAAAGGTTATTACAACAATGACAAATTTACAGCCCCTTTACATCTACAGCTGGATGACTTCTCCATGCCATGTTCTTCTTGGGCATTGTTTGACCATACTTCGCAGTGCAAGTTGGTAAAGTCGGTGCCAGCAGCGAGTTCCAACGTCAGTGAACACAGTTGTGAGCTATGGCATAGAATTCAACTCAGGTTGCCAGGTTCACAGCACAGCGTACGAACCTGCTCACACCACCACTGTACCTGCATCAATAATGTATTTTACAAAAGTTAGCACAGTACGGAAATGGGATTCTGGAAGCTTAAATAAGAGTAGCACCATCACTGTGTTAATCGATCTGTCCATGTGAAAATATCAGTCTTGCTGGTGATGTTCGTGGTGGCTGGGAATCTAACTTGGGTACGTGTATTACCATTGTGTACAACTGATCCGCCCTCAATATTAATGGATGATCACAAATAATATTTCTGTTCCGTATTTTAATACTCACTTTACAATCACCAATGACTGTATTTCTTAGCACATTGCAGGATAATAAAACATAATTGAGACACAAGCACCTACATTTTTATATTGCAGCAACATTTTAGGTGCATGACACAAAATAGCATGTATTCGCTATCTCCTGCAGCAGTGACAGTATGTGACACTTCAGTCATTAATTGTGTTCATTTCAGGAATAAAAAACAGGTACAAACACAGATGGTAGGCACAATTTGTTGTTGCCAGGGGTGTTTGGCAAGCATTACCAATACAACAGTGTCAAAATAATAATTATTGAAAGGTTTTCATTCTGACTTGCTAGTTTTCAAAATGCACTGATTGCACAGTCACACCGGCCCATCATGTACAAAGTATTTCCATGTTATGGAGATTACAACATGTACATTTGAGAGAATAAGGGCATTCAATCTTTTCTACAAAATATAACCTGCTACAAATCACAAGAACAAAGACGGAATGCATAGTACCAGTCCCTAGAGACACAGTTGCTGGTATAGG